AAAACTGCTAAATAGATTCAACATTTTGTGGCTGCTAAAAAAGACTGAACATACCCCATTTGCAATACCTTGGGTTGTCTTCTTTTGAAAATGATTTGCCATCATGGGAGTAATTCTCATTCCTGTGCTACCATACACTCTCAAAGGCAACATAACCAACTTGGCAATTTTCAATGTAAAAAGATTTGACCCTTATATTTGACCCTATAACTCTCAGAAACAGTATAAAACATGTACATGGGGGTACTGTTATACTCTGGAGACTTCGCTGAACACAAATATTAGTGTTTCAAAACAGTAAAACTTATCACAACAATTAGTGAAAGTGCAGTTTGTGTGTGAAAAAAAACTTCACTTTCACTGACAATATCATATATATATATATATATATATATATATATATATATATATACACACATACACACACACACACATAAATATATATAATCTAATTAAAAAAATATATGCGTATATTAATATAAAAATACACTTAGTATGACATATATATATGAAATATATAGACATAGATTATACAGATATAATATGTCTATCATATGTCTATATACACACATAATTATATTTTTTAATTTATTAACAATTTTTATTTTATTATTTTACATATGCAGGGAGACTGCCCGTCATTTCAGGCAGTTCCCCTGCAGGCAGATGCTCTGATGCCCATTGCGGTCATATGACCGCTCTGTTTGAGCGATCACATGGCCGCGGGGGCCTAATTCGCTGTCAGGCAGTCCCCCCAGACTGGGAGCAATGCTGATTGCCGGCAGGGGAACGGCGGCAATCAGGGAATGTAAATATTACCGTTATGACGGTTTAGGACCGTCATCGGTCCTCAAGGTGATTTTTCCGATGACGGTCCTAAACCATCAGCGGTCCTTACGGGGTTCATTTTCTATGTTTTATTTATTTTCTGTGTGTATGTAATTCTTACAGTTTGGAAGTTGATGCAGTTTTCTGATAGCATGCTTGCCTAAGTGTGAGATTGGCATCCTCTACTTATTCTTGTCATGTATTGTTCTTTGTTTGAAGGCCTGCTTTGCCAATTTTAAAAGCGTCCACCTGGGAAATTAAATCATTCTGCAAAAAGGAGACTTTGTTATTGAATAAATACAGTATCCACATAATTTTTTTTTTTTAGGGAAAAGGCTTTAGTGTAAAACAGTTGTATATATAAAAATAATAATGTGACATGAAAAAAAAACAAATAACTTTCACTGTTGATTGGTATTATCAAAGATTATAAGACAAACATTTTATATTTTTCTATTCAAACATAAATTAAGTTATTCACTGAAGTATAAATGGCCAGATTTAAAAATAGCAAAAACATTTTTTTTCAATTTGGTTATTGTGGCTTAAAATTTGAGATTCACTTTGGACTTTTAATTCCTGGCATTCTATATGTAAGCGAATAACCCAATAACTGTAAAAGACAATCTATAACTGTGACGAACTAAACCTCGTCACAGGCTGTTGGAGGGGCCTGCTTACCAGCCTCCTGCCTCAGGACAATGGGCCCTGCAATATACCTTGCCCAATGCACTTTAAAAGGCTCTGTTCATATGATTTATGTACTTTTGTTCTCCAGAAAGAGAGACCGACCGTTAGCCCTGATTCCCTGGAACTGTTTTGGGGCATGGAACCAAAAGTGCAATCGGTCAAATTATGAATTCCAGGAAATTCCTGAACCCCTGAACCGATCTCTGTGATGTTTGGATATGTTGGTCACCCAGATTGGGGCTTTCATGGGATGCAACTTTTGTGAGGGTTTTGTGTATTTAAATGTATTTTGGGGGTTTTATAAAAATGTATGTATTCTGTGCTTGAATTGAGTTTAATACAGTGCTTGACTCAATTATCTCCCAGGCACAGAGAAGGAATTATCTTGTTTTATGTGGGAGAGTGTCCTGGACCTGAGAGCCAATTGTGTGTATGTTTTTACTGTAGTCTATTCTCAGGTCCAGGGTGTAGTCCCCTTGCATGGGGACCTGCATACAAGGCCAGTTGTGGCTACTGTAGCGGATTACATGACCGCAAGGAAGTGAGGTCACACACGTGATGACGTTGCTTCCTCACAGCGCTCTTTGCAGACAGCTGCATGGAAGGAAAGAGAAAGGGGCTCCAAGGACCAGGTAAGTGCATGGAATGAGGGAGGGGGGTGAAATATTTGTCATGGACTTACTACTAGTGATTCCATGAAAAGACTTCATCCCCTATTAAATTTATTTTCTCTTCCGGACAGTAATATTATTGTCCGTCCAAAATTTGCACATTTTCAAAATTTGCAGGGGGGTCTTGGAATGTATCCCTGCGCATTACACGGTATTACTATAGTTAATAGTTAAATATATATGTAGAATGTGTGTATGTATATAAAATTTGACCCTTATATTTGACCCTGTAACTCTCAAAAACACTATAAAACCTGTACATGGGGGGGTACGGTTATACTCGGGAGACTTCGCTGAACACAAATATTAGTGTTTCAAAACAGTAAAACATATCACAACAATTATATCATAGTTTTTTTTTTTTTATATTATGTATTATATAGATAACACGTGTGTATATATATATATATAATAAAATAAATCATTTTATAATATATTATACACATACATATATATATATATATATATACACACACACACACACACACACACACACACACACACACACACATATATATAAATGTATTTTGAGATATATGTGTATATATATCTCAAAGTACACTTATAATCAAATCCAATATATACATTATATATTCATAATATATTATAAAATGATTTAATTTTATTATATATTATACATTTATTTTATTTATCTATTTTTTTTAAAACACTTTTTGATGTCAGGTGGACTGCCTGACAGCTCAGACAGTGCCCCGTAGACTGCTATAGCGGCTATGTGATCATGGTGTTCACATGGCCCTGGAGGGGCGTGGAGTACAGAGCTGCTGCAGGGGGACTGCTGGGGTCTCGGGCAGCCCCCCCCGACCGGGATCGCCGCAGGTCGCTGGTTCAGGTTAGTCCAGGGGTCCGATTGCCCACGGACGTACCAGTACATTAACGGCTGTTTTTTGTCGGACATACCCAGTACGTTCGAGGTTGGGAAGGAGTTAAAGAGTACAATAGTTAATGTGGGTGGTAATAGTGTGTTGATCCAAGCAGATGTTTGATGCCCATTTTAAAATCCAGAATGATCCCCCCCTCCCTTATGGTATAATTGAAAATAAGTTCAAACTTGGTTTTTGCTTTCTTATTTTTTATTCCTTTTTATTGTTTTTTTATATTATAATTCTACAAATGTTAAACAGTATTGAAAAAAAAGCATAAACAAACATTGATACATATATGTGGTTAAGGTGTGTTACAAACTTAACAAGTTATCCTTTCCCTCTTTACCATTTCTTGTCATTACTTGGTATTTAACGTGCACCATTATTCCATGAAATTGTTACTTGAGAATAAGCTATCCTTACGTACAAGCACAGGTACACCATATTCATGTTTACAATTAATCTGTTCATTAGTGCAAGTACGTAACATTGAGTTATAACCTTAGTATATTTATTTAAATTCCTACATAAAGATACTGTTTTTCCTATGGGGTGGTGCCTCCTACTAATGATTGTTTTCACCATCTACTATGACTTTTTTAGGATGTTGGATATTCGGAAGTCTATAGGTTTTGGGCTGTTCCCATTATAAAGGAGTTCTATGGACCAGAAATTTGAGTAATGCCTGTGGAAGTTAATGCTAAAGATCTCTTCTCCGGGGTGTTCAATCCCCTAGAATTTTGTGTGTGTATACGAATGGTTGTCATCTTGTTAGTTTTTGTAGCATCTGTAATGAAATTGCCACTATTTATGTTACTCTCTTGTGTTCAGTACGCACGTCTCTATAACTTCTACTGTGAATTACTAATTTGTTTGCTTATCCTCAACTATAAATCAAGGTAACGTATCATAAAGAAGAAAAACTATATACAATTGTAAAAGAGAGCTTAAAACACCTAGAGATGGGATACCGCCGGGGACACTAAGCTGGGAATCACCACTGGTATGGTTAAGATCAATGAACTGGTGCCCGCCCCTATGGCCAGTAAATTATAGTCCCTTGATCCCAAGGGTGTTTTAAGGTTGGAAAAGAATAATTATTTAACTATATCTTAATGTTTTCGCTATTCTATCTCCATGCAAGAGACAGAACTCAAGGAATTTGGGTGCGCTGCTCGGTGGAAACCCAAGCATTTCAATCCTTCACATAGTTATGTAATATTAGGGAGACTGCAACAGAGATGAGGAGAAGGAGAGAGGGGGTATGAAAAAAGGGAGGGGGGGGAAGAAGGAGGGGGAATAGAAGGATAAATAGATTAGATTGCCTAACCCCTACTGTTTAGATAATAAACAACAACATACCATCTATACCCTACATTACTCTGATACCATTTGGTAGAAAACCTGTGACACATTTCTATGGTATTATCTCTGCCCATGCTAAATTGGTATACGACCTGTTAATTGTCCTTTGGGTATACAGCATCTCCTAGGACATAGTAGCGGCAGTTTACACAGATTATCAGGTTTCCTAATAGTCCCACATTACTGTGAATCCTGGATATACTCCAAATATCGTCCAGTTTACCAGGTCTCCCGGGTTTGTCGCAGCATGTGGAGTATCCCAGGGACCATCAGGTGAGGTCTTCCATTGTCCATTGGTAAGTATCAGGTTAGTATGCAGGGTGCTGTATAGCTCTTCCTAGTGTATCACCTGGAACCACTAGTATTCAGGGCTTGAGGGTTTCGGCTCAGCCGTTGAAGAAATCTTTGTTGGAGCCTAGGTGGTGATGTATAGTGATACATATTAACGAACGTTGATACCTTGGTTCGTCATGGTCTTCATTGTGGGGGAAAAAAGCGTTGATCTGTTCACCTCTTTTTAGCTGGTCCATCGCTAGTGCTGGGGTAAAATAGTTGCGTCTTAATTGGGCTGTGGGATGTACCAGTCCGTAATTTGTGTATTGGGCAATTCCGGGGCCCTAAGGAAAAGCTTTATGTCCAGATGCGTTGCGATTGAATAGACAGTGCTTTTGTGGGTAACATTCAGGGCCAACTGGAACCCCCATCTATATTTTATATTGCAGTTGCGTAGGTGCTCTGTAATAGGTTTCAGAGCCCATCTTGCCTGAAGTGTATGCAGGATAGGTCTGGGAAAGTCTGTATCGGGTTGTTGTAAAATAAAAGTGGCTGAGAAGTCTCTCGTAGAGCTCTTAAATATATTATCCTTAAAGGAAAAGTAGTGCAGTTTACATATCATGTCCCGTGGGGCCTCTGATAGTGCTCCTCTTGGACGCAGAGATTTGTGTGCTCTGTCCATTATTATCTGATTATCGGTTGCTTCTTCCAGTATGAGGTTAAAGAGTTCTGTGAGGGTGGACATAACATCTTCTCCTTGTATTTCTGGAAGACCCCTGGATCCTCAAATTATTCCTGCGACTCCTATTGTCTAAATCGTCTACTTGTCGTTGGATTAATGATAGGATCTTAGTATGGGTCTCAATGGTGGGGGAGTTGTTTGTCATTTGAGACTGAACAAAATCTCTCTCCTCCAAGTCCGATACTCAGACTTACTTGTTGTACTTCTAGATACGCCTTTGAAGGTAAGCTCCGTAAGCTCCCTTATTTCAAGGTCTTGCAAGATTTCTTGTGATCTGCAGGAGCCCTCAGATGGTGCTGGGCTAGAGGGCGTGGATTTCGCCTGAGTCTCTGCGGCCGCCATCTTGGCTACCATGGCCACTACCACGGTCAGTAGAATCTTTAAAAAAAACAAAAAAACGTATAAGAGCACTCAGTTTCGAGGATGGCATTTTGCCACTAGCTCCTTGGGCTGTATTTTGTTTTTGGGGGATTCCCATATCCGCTCTGGGTCTCCGATGGCGTTAGATTATGTCTCGGGTCTCTCGGAGCTGAATTAGTGCACGTCCATTCAGCTCCATTGCAAGCCATGCCCCATTCCTTCTTTTTTTTTTAATCAAGCACAGAAACGCATGTTTGGAAGGCTTTTTCCAATTTAGATTACTATTTTACGATGATGGTCCAAATGGTCCAGAGTGCAATCAGTCAGATTAATCTTAATTTTCCCTGGGTTTCCCTTACTTGCCACTCTTTACTGAGCTTTCTCTATCATAGGTTATGCACTTAGTTAGACAAACTAATTAAAACCAAGTGTTGCATACAGCCCACCATCACTTTGCGGCAGTAGCGTAACTACCGGGGGGCTGAAGATATGGCTGTCCTGGGTGCAAAAATCAAGGGTGGAGGGCATGGTGCCACCACGGTGCTGGTAAAATACTAAAGCAGTTGGGTGACCTGATGTGCACATCAAGCCATGAACAGGGCAGCGCTGGATCTTCCTGTGTGTCACTCAATGGCTAGGGCTGAGCTGAGCTTAGCGTGAGGACATTACATCACATCCTCAGCTTAAGCTCAGTCCTTAGCTCAAGTGACAAATATTTTTGGGGCACATACATACAACTTACATACATGCCAAACTCTAAAACTTCTACATACATTTTATTTTACTCTTTGTATTTTGTAATCTGTAACTACCAAAATTAACAGAAATCGTATACATAGAATGTACTCCGTAATTCAAGATAAATAAATGAATGTATTTTTTTTAGCTATACATGTACCAAAACTGTGAAACATTTAAGTTTTTTGAATTTTTTTTCTTTTGTTGCATTTTTTATAATAAATGAGAATGTATTAATGTATGTGTCAAATCAAATTAAATCCCTTGTTGTCCTTTAAAAATCTAATATGTTATGTGCTGGTGTAATAACAAAGAAAGATGGAAACTGTGTTGAACACACACACACAGCAAAAAATGCCAAAATTGCTTTTGTCACTAAGTAGAAAACAAACTACAGCACAGAAGAGTTAAAATCCTCACAGGAAAGTGCATAGCTCTATTCTATGACTACATGTCTACACTAGTCCTTTGTAAAAAAAAATTGTGTAGCACAGTTATCTGTGCTAGTAATATCTGTGTTAGTACATCGCTAGGCATCTTAGAACCATTTATGTTGCAGATCTATAGCAGAAATATATGTTCACTTTTATTTTTTTAACACAAATTAGTTATAGGTATTGCTTTATGTCTTTATTGCAAAAACCTATTGTTACGGTACACCAAGGTATAAGAGGGGTTAATACTGCTGAATAGAGAAGCAGCTAAAAAAAAAAAATCTCCAATTAGCCGAACAGGAACCATACAAAATCCTTCACGAACCAAACAGCCGAACGAGTAAACCATACGAAGCCAATACCCCCAAGTACGAGACCAAGCTCCGTATTGAGGGTTAAGCAGAGATCTGATTTATTGAGGGCTACTTGCTCGATATTTATGCAGGTCTCCCACCTGGTGGACACTCCCCTAGGGGACCAGATGGATACAGTAGCCAATCACAGTGGTACAAGCAAAAACACTCCCCTTTCGCTGAGAAAAACCCTCCTCTCTATCCTGGAGATAATTGGGAAGTAATCCAATTATCTCCATGGATAGAGGCTAAACTTAATTTTATACATAATAATAAAAATCCATAACTTCACATTACACGAATAGAATAACCACATTTAACATATCCCCAGATAGCTTAGATCTGAGCGCACATTATGACCGAATGGCGCTCATATCCTATACACACAGTTCAATCGCCATGGAGCCAAAGTATTTCACATTGTCTTTCGGTATACGAATGGGCTCCATGGGATGGTTATCTGGGTTAAGTCATTTCGTGCAGAAAAGTACCGAACAGACTGGCGTTCGTATGCTGAAAGGTAGAGAAAGGAGGTCGGCGGTTTGAGCTTTGTTCGGGAGAAATAGTATCCGTTTTCAGTTTCAGGAAATCATCGACTAACACCGCTGATCATTCATGCGTCTAAGATGGCCGCCGTTTCGTGGTCGGCATACGAACGACGACCACCCAGCATAACGTTGATAATTATGAGGTGTCTGCGGTTAACCACAACGTTCTAATGAGGCCAAGAGGTTAACCAGCAGCACATGACCCTGCTGGGTTGTCTACTATTGCAAATGGTATGCCATCATGGGGGCAATTTTCATTCCTGGGCTACCATACGGTCTCAAAGGCAACGTAACCAATCTGGCGAATTTCAATGTGAAAAATCTGAAACGCAAGCCTTATATTTAACTCTAACTTTTGAAAACACCATAAAACCTGTACATGAAGGGTACTTTTATACTCGGGAGGCTTCGCTGAACTCAAATATTAGTGTTTCAAAACAGTAAAATGTATTACAACGATGATATCGTCAGTGTAAGTGCCATTTGTGTGTGAAAAATGCAAAAAAAATTCACTTTCATGATATCGTTGTAATACATTTTACTGTTTTGAAACACTAATATTTGTGTTCAGCGTAGTCTTCCAAGTAAAATAGTAACCCCCATGTACAGGTTTTATGGTGTCTTGGAAAGTTAAAGGGTTAAATATAGTGCTAGCAAATTGAATTCCCTGGAGAGATAGAGATAGAGCTAGAGATAGAGATAGAGATAGCTCAAAATACAGTTAGAATGAAATTACACACATATTTTTTAATTTTTATTTTTTAACATTTACATATTTTATTTTTTATTATTTATAAATAATATATAATTAAATATTTAATCAATATCATTCTACGTGTATTTTTATAATAAACCCTTAATGACGAGTGACGGACAAAGTCCGTCACTCAGGGGATTGCCATAACGACGAGTGACGGACCTTGTCCGGCACGCGTTAAAGTTAGCCCCAGATCGCCACAATCGCGGTGATCGCGGAGTTAGTGGTGCTCCGGTCTGCCTCTGTATTAGAGGCAGACCGGGAACACCAGATAGTGCTGCCCCAGCACATGTGCTCGCTCTGACAGGCTGTCAGAGCGAGCACATGAGCTCAGTATACTTACCTTCCGCCTCCCAGCACTTCCTGGTTCTGTGTGAAGTGCAGGGAGCCGGAAGAGTGATGATCGTGCCCCCTGTGTAAAAAAATAAAATAAAGTTAATTTAAATCCCACCCCCTTTTACCCATTTTAATAAAAAATGTATCCCTTCCCTGCCAATTGAACACTAACTACAGGGATTACATTGTAGTTTATTATTTTTTTAACCCCTGAGGGTTAATTATTTTTTTTAACCCTCAGGGGTTAAAATGTATTTGATTAATTAATTTAAATACTTTTAATGCAGGTCTCCCACCTGGTGGACACTCCCCTAGGGGACCAGATGGATACAGTAGCCAATCACAGTGGTACAAGCAAAAACACTCCCCTGGGGAATTGGGGGATTTGGTGTTACGCTAACTAAGGGTTAACATTAAAAAAAAGTTTTAAAATAAACTTTAAAAAAGTTAAAAATCAAGCAAATCAAGCAAAAAAAAAAAGTTACAAATTAACCCCTTCCCTGCCAGTCGATCACTGCCTACAGTGATCAAAATAGAGATCACAGTATTATACTGTGATCTAATTTTTTTAACCCCTGAGGATTAACTTTTATTTATTTTTTAACCCCCAGGGGTGGGTGAGAGTTATGGGAAAATGGGGAATTTACTGTTAGTGCTGTTTGCTGCTAGTTAGGGGTTAACGGTAAAAAAAAAAAGCTTAGAACAATGTTAAATCTGTAAAAAACGTTTTAAGAAAGTTTAGGAAAGTTTTAAAAAAATTAATAAGCAAAACAAAAGTTTAAAAACTAGCTTGTAAAAGTAAAAAAAAAAAAGTAAAAAAAAATACATTTAAAAATGCTAATTACCACTATACTTGGTACAAGCTAGCGGAAAAATGATCCCATGCTAAGATTCAAAATATGCCTTTTAAAAAAATACCCTGGGAGGTCTTCTTTAAGAAATGGTATAGCTTTATGGGGTATTTGGATTATATAGCCTGGTAAAATACTCTAAAATGGGACATGGGCACAGCGTAAAAATTTAAAGTTTGAAAAAAAAAACTGGAATGGCTGTGTCCCAAATGTGCCCCTCCGATGTCCACATATACCTGGCAAAGGTACATACGGGGGTATTGCTGTACTCAGCCGACATAGCTGAGCAACATATGAAGTATTATACAGTGGTAGCACACATACGGTTTGCAAAATATATTGTGCAAACTCACTTTGTTTGAAAAAAAAGGCAGAAAAAAACGCTTATTACCACTACACTTGGTACAAGCTAGCGGAAAAATTATCCCATGCTAAGGTTCAAAATATACCTTTTGAAATATCCTGGGGTGTCTACTTTAAGAAATGGTAGGCCTTTGTGGGGTACTTTGAATTTAAACCCTGTTAAGATGGTTGGAAATTGCACATAGGCAATTCAACATTCATTGGGGGTGTCTTTTTACTCAGAAGACTTAGCTGAGCATAATTTGGGGGGTTTGAACTTAGTGGCACATGTGAAATATACAAAATGCCCAGCAAAAATGCAATCCATGTGTAAAAACTGCACAAAATTATTTTTTACCACATACTTTGGCATATATTAGTGAAAAAAAAAATGGGGGCATGTTAAGGTACAATATGCACCTTATAAGATACCCTGGAGTGTCTACTTTTACAAATGGTAGGCCTTTGTGGGGTTTTTTTTTGAACAGTCAAACTGTTATAATACCCCAAATGGAAGCATAGGCTCATTAAATCCGTCTCAAAATTCTACTGTGAATACTGAAAAGGACAGGTCTCCTATATGGCACTGTAACTTCACGAAATAGTGCCAAAGACATACAATGGGGGTGTCATTTTACTCAGCAGATGTAACTGAACAC